GTTCCCGCCCAGCCTCGCTCAGCGCGGGGGCGGCCACGGCCATGGCCACAGGACCGCTGGGCGCGCTGGGCGCTGGGGCTGCCTTGAGTCTCAGCGGCTCGGATGTGGGGGCGGGGCCCATAAGCCCCGCCCCAGTCTGAGCCCCACCGGGAAGCCCCGCCCCGGCGCCAAGTGCGTTTCATCAAGTCCCTCCCCCTGTGCTAAGCCCCACCCAGCCAGCCACCTGGCCCGGCCCAAGGAGTGGGCGAGGGTCCCCCTCCAGGGCCTCTTGGTGGAGCAGGAGAGATGACAGAAGGCTATAGATTGTCATAAAGACTCAGAGTGATCTTATAGCTAAGGATGCGGGCAATAAAAAGTGAAAAGCGACCGTCTGTGAGGTCTCTGCAGAGCTCCCGCCTTCCCCTCACCCGCCGCTCCTCCCCGCCCTTCTCCCCGCACCCTTGTTCCAGGTGGGCCAGGCTGACCCAGGGGAAAGAGAAACTCCTTCTAGATGGGTTTTGCTTTGCTTCCTGCCTGCGTGGTTACCTGCGGCTCGGGCTTTTCTTCCTAAACCGGAGCATTTCTTTATTGCTGTAGTTGTTAATACCGTTTTATTTCTTTCTCCCGGTGATATTCCGGGGAAATTCACATACCAGGTATTGCACCATTGAAAGGGTACCCTTCCGCGGTGTTTTACTGTATTCGCAGAGTCCCGTGACCCTCACCACTATCTAATTTCAGAACAAAATGAAATCCATACCCTCCTTTTCACACTCACACCGCCACCCCCTACCCTTCCCTCCTCAAAGTCCATAGCAACAACTCATTCTACTTTCTGTTTCTGTGGATTTGCCTGTTCTCCAAAACAGGGAATTTCTGTGACATAAGTCATCCTAGTGCGTAAAAGGAGAGAAAAATGTAGTGAAGTCAGGGCCCCACCGAAACAGGTGGCTTGGGAGTGGGGAGCAGAGGTGAGGGCTTTCCCCCTGCTCTAGGCAGCCTGAGTCCTGTCCATGAGAAGCCAGTGTCCACCTAGAGGTACATCAGGAAAGGGACTGGGAAGAGAAAGTCCCCTTCAGGGAGAAAGCAGGGGTGCTGGCTGAGAGGCCTGGGCTGGTGGGGGGTGAAGGTGAGCCTTCAAAGGGGGCTGGCTGAGGTCAGGGCTGGGTCTGTCCACCTGCATCCATCTACTGCTCATCACCAAGGTTGCCAAACCCCCGCCTGTCCCACATCCAAGTAGTTAGCTGAAGGGATCATTGTTTCCTACTTAGGGTCCTTTTGTCCCTTGCCCCCAACTTCCTCCAGGTGTACCCTAACATCAGAGAGAGGAGGTAGAAAGAAATGGGGCGAAGAGAGGAGGGCTGGGCAGAGAGAGAAGCTGGAAGTTGGGGTGGGAGGAGGCTGGCAAGGAGGAGGGAAGGCAGGAGCGGCAGGGAGGGGCTCGATCTATAAAGGGCGAAGCTCACTGACCTGGTGGGCAGGAGAGCTTGGGGACGGCCCAGCAGGCACCAGCTCCAGGGACCTAGTGTGCTCTGGTGAGTCCCTCCCTGCAACGGCTGATACCGGCAGCAGGTCCTCCAACACAAATTGTCCCCATCCTGTGCCACCTACCTCCCTCACAGAGGGCCCTGGCTTGGGATGGGGTGCTCCCAGTGCCTGCTGCTGTCCATTTTAGGTCCTCATCACCCGCACCCCACTTCCTAGTTAATCCTCAAGGCGCCGAAGGAGGAGGTGCAGCCTGCACTATGAACCCGTGGCTCCTGGTCTGCTTGGTGGCCTGCTTCATGGGTGCCTGGGCCCCGGCTGTCCATGCTCAAGGTACTGTCTCGGACCACACTATCCCTGCTCCCCTGAAGCCCTCCCTCCCCATCCTCCCTGTGCCCTCCCCCCAACATAGGTTCCTCCTCCAGGAGCCTCCCCTGATCTCACCTCCATTGAATTAATTCTCTGACGGACAGCTGTCCTCCACCAGGTGTGCAAAAACTCTTGGGGTTTGTGCAGCTCCTTGGTGGTGCAGCGTTCTCCGCCTCTCCTTCCAGAGCCCTTTGGTACCCCCTCCCTAGTCCATGGGGCTATGGGGAGCAGAGGGTGGCTCCCAGTGGTAGCATGGCTGCTTACCACCAGGGACACAACGCAGTGACCTGAGCCTGCAGAGCCCGGGCCAAGGTTTGAGATCCGAGCCCCAGGAACCAAAAAGAGTGGGTCTTCATTTTGGCTTCCCCCACTCAGGCTCCCTGTGCCATCTGCCTGAGAGTCGCTACTCAGCCTTTATAAGCCCGTTTCCTCCTCTGCAAAATGAAGCTCTAAATTCTGGCTGCAGAGATGGGACATGAGGACCTGATGAGCTGATGCCTGCAAAACTCTTGGCCCGGTGCCCGGCAGCAACAGCGATAATCATTACTGTTATTGGTGGGGAATTCCTTCCCCTCTCTCCCTAGATTAGGTACTTGAGGATATTGGTTCTGGGCATGCAGTGTCCCCCAGGAGCCCTGCCACCGTGTGCTGCATTGCAGTGGGCCTGAGGGAGCTAGCTGAGCCCCAGCAGCCAGCCAGGCTGGGCCCCTGGTCCAGTGGGAGCCCGACAGCCCCACCCACCTGCCCCACCTGCCCCACCTGCCCCTCGCTGGGTCTGAGAGGCCCTAGCCCAGCCCCCCAGCAGAACTTAGCCTTTGCCCAGGAGGGGGTTGGGCTTCATTTCCCATTGTCCTGCTATTGGAGGCCCATTTCAGGCGCCAGGCCCAGCCTGGGCCCTTTGATCCCCGGGGCAGGGTGTCCCCAGCTCCAGGAACTGCCTGCCTGGCACTGCAGCACAGGGTCTCTCTGACTCCACTGCCCCTTGCCCTTGGGGTCAAGGTTAAGGGATGGAGAGATCCTTCCGGTCTCCCTGGTGCTGCCCCCTTCCAGGACTCAGCTGTGGCCCTCCAGGGCCCTCCAGGGCTCCACAGAGGGACGGATCCCAGATGACATTAAAGGCCCAGCACCATCTCCACGTTAATTCATCCTCTACTCATTGCACCTGCGTCTTCTCGGACCCTTGTGGCACCAGTACCTCCTCCTCCGAGCACCCCCCAATCCTCACCCCCAGCCTCACTCCTCCCCTCACAGCATGGGGACAGAGGGGAAAAGGCAACCAAGACAGCCCTAGGTGGGAAAGTGCCAGCCTGGAGCAGGAGCTGGGATATCCGACGCAGAGGAGGGGCAGGGCTGGGAGTGGTGGCCCCCGGCCCCTCAGGGCACTGCACCCTCCTTGCCCTTGGCCCCCCGAGTAGGAGTGGAAATGCCCTTGGTCCCCCATTTATTTCGCGGTCCCGGCCCCTTCCCAGCTCCAACTCCTGCCAGCTGCCCCTTACAAGGACCAAAGCTGAGCTGAGCAGCTTCCTTACTGCCTGGACCTTCACGGGGCCTGGATGGGGTGTGGTGAGTGTGCGGAGCCCACGTCTGTGGCTGTCGGTTCAAAGCGCACACGTAGCCGCACACGGACACATAGAGTCACGAGCCTTTGGGCGGCCATGTGCTCGCAGGTTCCTTTGAGGACTGCTGCCTGGCCTATCACAGCCTTGCCAGGCCATCCTTGCTCCGACGTGCTCACAGTTACCAGCGCCAGGACGTGAGCGGGAGCTGCAACCTGCCGGCTGTGATGTGAGTGGGACTGTGGGGGCTGTGGCAGGGCTCCCACACAACGTGTCTCCCCACTAACACCCTCACCTGGGCACCCCTATCCTCCACAGATTCTTCTTCCCCCAGAAAGACAGGATGGTTTGTGGGAGGCCGGGGGCCAGGTGGGTGCAGATTGGGATGAAGATTCTGGATGCTCGGAATAAAACCCACTTCAAGCACCACCATGGCACCTGGAGAAACTTCCAAGGTGAGTGAGATCCCAGTCCAGCATCCAAGGGGCCCACCCTCCCTGCTGCAAGCTCCTGAGCATCTCAACCCCTAAAGAGGGGGTGACAGCCCAGCATCTGACAGCTCCCCGCACCCCAAGGAGAGCCAGTGGCTGGTGAGTGGGAGGCAGACTGAATGTGCAACTCTTTTAGTCAAGACACTTTCAATTGCTAGAGATGGAAGATTCAAGCAAATGGGAGACTCATCAGCTCAAATAACCAGCCAAGCTGCAGCTTCAGGTTTGGCTGGATCCAGGTGCTCCAAAGGTATAGGTAGAGCTCTTATCTATTTCTCGCTCCTTCTCTCTAACAGGCCCTCACTCTGGGGTGAGGAAGTTGAGCTCTGGAAATGCCAAGCTACCATTGTCAAAGTTTAGTGGTCCCACCAGAAGCAGCAAGAGGAAAGCCTCCCTCCTGACAACAGCTAATACAGGTCAGGACTCTTGATCCTGTGACCAGCCTCCACTCATCACTGCTGCTGAGGAATGAAGGTTCCTCATCAGCCCAGACTGGATCAGGGGACTCACCGCCACGACCGCAGAGGGCTGGCTCTGTGGCCAGTTCCACAGCTTCGCATGGGAGGGTCCTGGGGAGCTGTTCCCCACCCTGCTCCTGCCCAGGGGGCTTTGGCAAGTGCTGAAGCAAAATTCCAGGCATGCGGACCAAGAGCCGCAGGGCCCCCAACTCCATGCCAGTCTCTTTCACCTTCACCTTCTTCTCCAACCCCTCCTGCAGGACGGTGAGCCCACACTTCTCCAGGATCAGCTAGGGCAAGACCAGCTGGACCTTTCTCCGCCACAGTTGTCACCACGTGGCCCCAGAGCTGTCCCAGCCCCTCTGTCCTTCAGGACAAATCTTAATTCCCATGCCTGAGGCTGCGTTGGTTCCCTCCCCATCACCTCTGCCACCTCCTGCTCCTCAGGGGGCTGGAACCAGGGAGCCAATCTTATTTCAAGGCCTTAGCCTGCTCTGGGCACTAAAGTCAGCCCTACCTGGGACAGTGGTTCTGGTAAAGAACGCTCACGATTCGCCTGCTTGCAGCCTCCTGCCACCCACCCTGGGCCACACCTGTTTGTGTCCGTCTGGCTCTTTGCAAAGCTTCAGGCCACCCAAGGATGCCTCTCCCAGGATACGCTTGTCTGTAACTTTTAAATAAACCTTTAGTGGCATGCCACTCCTGTCTCTGTCACATTTCATTGCAGGGTGCAAGTCCCCAGCCCGTGTTAAATTCCACGTGGTCCCCTCCCACCCCAGGATCTGCGCTCTCAGCCGGCAGAGCAGATGGCTCCTGGGGGGCCGAGCGCCAGGCCAGCCCCATGCTTCCCAGTGGCCATCTTGAGGAAACCGTCCACTTGTTCCTCTTTTTTCATCTATAAAAAGGGGGTCACCGTGCTTTCTTTGCCCAGATCCCTGGGCTGTGTTGAGACAGGCTAATGGACAGAGATGCTCTCTGAAAGCTCTGAAGGGAGCCCAGAGGCTCCTGATAAATCAGGTGGGCTGGAACCGAGCCAAGAACAGAGTCCTGGAACTCTGCGGGAGGAGGCAGGGCCACACGCTGGGGTCTGGGTCACTTACCCAGACTCAAGCCCCCAGCTGTGCTGTCCTCGGACAGTCTGTTTCCACCACAACAGAGCATGTTCCAGATGAAAACCAAGTGGACCATCTCTAGAGGACAGGAGGTGGTGTGGGGCCAGGGTGCAGACTTAAAGGCCCTTGGGTCACATCCAGGCCCCACTACACTATGTGGGTGACCCGGGCAGATTCCATAAACTCTCTAAACTTCGCTTTCCCCACCGTCAAATGGGGAAGCTGATGACACTGCCTGCTGCATACCAGTTTGTGGGAACTAAATACGATACCGTCTGCGACACACAGGGCACACGCACAAGCTACGTGTGACCACAGTGAGTATCCTGTCCCTGAGCGTGGCCATCAAATTCAGCAGCTCCAGCCCAAACTGGAGCCAGGCAGGATGGACGCAGGTATGGCTGCCCAACTTTGAACCTGGCTCTGCTCCCTGGAACCTGGAGTCACCTTGGCCACGTTGCTGAACCTCTCTGAGCCTCAGTTTTCCTATCCATAAAATGGGGATGAGAATAACAGCACCTCTTTCATGGGGCTGTAGTGACAACCAAATGGGTCACTAACTGAAAAATCCATAGGACGGTGCCTGGTCCGTAGTATGTTGTCAGGAATGCAAGCCATTCTCATCAGCATTGGTGAACCCACGAGGGCCCCGGTGGTTGCCACCTGCAGCCTGGTTTTGTGCCCAACTCACAGGTCTGAAGTTGGCAGAACCCACCTGCATCCTGGGATGGTGTTCCCCACCCCCTGGTGCAGGATGGTCTCGACCTGTCTCTCACCTGCACACTTTCTCCTCAGAATCTGAGCGGAAGCCCATCCTTCCCAAAGCTTCTGCCCTCCTAGGGCCTCCTGCTTCCCTCTACATGAACCTTGCCTGGCCCTGCCAAGGGCATCGTCTGCTTACTGCCAGAAATTGCCCAGGGGGCAGACTTAACCCAAAATAACTTTATTGTTGTCTCTGCTTCTGATATAAAAGCATCCTCAGAACCCTGGCCCAGCTTCCCGTGGGGACAAACATAGCTGCACGTCATCACCTCTGGCTGGGGCCCCGCAGGCCCCTCTGCTGGGAGGGACAAGCCCTATGCCCACCCCAGCCACCCGTTCCCATGTCCCGCCGACCCTCTGGGGGTGAGGCCCCTGTGCAGTGCAGAAGTTTAAGCCTGAGATTGACCAGATACAGTGAAACATGGGGCCCTCCTTGACCCTGGTTGTTGGAAATGGAGGGGGGACATGGATGTCTCCAGCAAAGGCTGAATATTGGGGTCCCGTGGATAGAAGCTGGGCTCGCTTGAGGTCACAGCATAGCATTTCACTCTTCCTGAGTTTCTGGGTCCTGCCTGGTTAGCCACTGCCACCAAGGATCGAACCCTCTCAGCTCCAGGATCTCCCACCTCTGGAGAGGACAAGGGTGTGGGGGCCCCGGGGTGACCTAGGATCTCCCGAGGGTGGGTAGCAAACAGAGTGACATCAGAATTTTCCCAAAACCCCATGGAAGGAGGCAGGAGCTGGGCGATGCCCAGATGATGAGTCTGGAGAGTGGGCGGCAAGAGGGGTCTGGGGCCAGCTGGCAAGGTGTGGGCACCTCCGGACTACAGCAGCTGCACCTGCACCTTCAGACGCAAGGCCCGGTCCCCGGGCTGCCCCTCTGGCCAGGTGCTCCAGGGCTCGGCCACGCTCACCACCTCCAGCTGGTAGGTTCCAGGCCCCGGCCTCCGACGCCCCAGCTGCAGGGAGCTGAGGCCTCGGAGGTGATGCATGCGGAAGAAACCTTGCTCGTTGCCGCGGGTGATGACATAGCGGACTCGGCCCCCCAGACTCTCCAGTGCCGGCCTCAGCTCCAGGATGTGCCCTGCTGGGCCCAGGCGCGAGAGGTTCAGGCCCAAGGTCAGCGGAGCCTCTGAGTCAAGGCTGGCCAGGCTCACCTGGGGAAAAAGACCAGGTGGATGAAGGTCAGAGGCCAGGAGAATCAGAATGAGGTGGGTGGGGGGCCAAGAGGAGATTTTAGCCAACTCTAAAGTGGAGGAAAACATGGACCATTCTCTGTCCTGACCCCTGTCTAGCCCTCCACGCACAAGGCCAATAGTCAGCTCGGACTATAAACAGAAGATGGAACAGACGTTGGCTCTCAGGAGAAACGAAAGTGTGGCGGGTAGGTGGCTACTTTTTGTAGACCTCTTGTTTCAACTCGAAGGGACTTAGATCCCTGCCAGCCTGGGCAGGGGGAAGGAAGGATTTCCCCTCAAGACCCCAGACTGGGAGTTGATCAGATGGCATCGGGCTCCAGAGCCCTAAGATCACTCAAAGGTGGTCTAGGGTGGCTTGAGTTATGACCAAGGGCCTTGCAGCAGGAGCCGGCCCAGAAAACACTCAGGGGACGCAGACCCGGCTGGGCCGGATAGAGGAGCCGCCTAGTAGCTCTCCAGTTCCCGGAGGTACTTCCTGCATCTGGGCTCTCTCAGAGAGCCCAGATGACAAACCCCTCTTTATCTGAGCTCCTCTGAGTGCATTCCTGGTTCTGGCAGCTGGACAGGGCCCTGAATAAGCCAGCAAGCCTCAATGGCAGGCTGACTCAGGCTGGGTGATGGATTCAATCCCACAGGATGCTAGCTGTGCTTTCTTCTCCTTTGCTCTGGGCAGAGCTATTTGTCCTGCCTAATTTACATGTTGAAGGGGGTGTTCTACTGTTTCATGAAAGTGAGAGCTATTCTTGTTTCCCAGCTCCTCAATTCTGGAGGTTTCAGCCCTTCAGAGGGAATGTTGCTCTGAAACATGCTCTTACTGACCCCTGGTGGCACTCAGTGGCTATTGCAGGCAAAGCCATAGGACCCAGCCCTCTGCCTACATCTGCTTGTGTTCATCTTAGGAGCCCTCCATTCCACTTCACTCACTCTTACAAAAACCAACGGCTGTGCCAGCCAGGAGGTGATGGATGACAAGTTCCAGGATGCAGGCAGGGTTGGGAGCTCCATGGGGGCATCACACCCAGAGTCTGTGTGGGAAGTGCTTGACTTGTCACCAGGAGTAAGGTGGGGTGCTTGGGGGCCTGTGTCCCCCAGAGAGGCCCCAAGGAGAAGACGTGGGCTGGCATGACATAGGGCGCATGCTGTGACATGGAGTCCGGTGCTCCCACCCTCCCCCCTTTCCCCACCTGCCCCTGCCACCAACTGCTCCCCATGCCCAGTGTATCCCTTGTGGCACCTGATGGTCCCTGTGGGTGCTGCGCCGTGGCCGGTCACGAGGGGGCTGGCTGTTGATCTTGCATTCATAGCAGGCTTCGGGTGAGAGCAGCTCCTCCTCATCGGGGGTGTCCTGGGGTCCTGGGCTGAAGCCCAGGCCAGAGACACAGTGCCTGGGCCAGGATAGGGGGTGGGCAAGTCTTCAGGGGGCAGGCGGGTGGAACCTCCCCAGCCATCCGCCCACCCACACACTCCATTTTTGAGCCACACTGCCAGGGGTGAGGCAAATGTGAGTGTACAAATGTGCCCATGTGGCTTTTCATGCACCCACACGTGTATATGCAAGGGATGTGTGCACCCCTTGGCTTCCCTGGGTGTAGGTGAAAACCTGCACACACCCAAATGTACCTCAGGGCGTGTGCATGGTGAGCCTGTGTGCACTCTGGATGCTGACATGCGCTTGCACACAGGTGTGCGCTGGTATATATGAATGCACGAGGGTGCCCGGGCATGCTGGCACTGGTGTGAGCCATGTACGCACTTGCGTGCATTACAGGGCAGCGGGTATCGAGCATTGTGCCTGTGAAGGCATACAGGACAATGACAGCACGGTGGGTGTGAGCTTGTGCATGCACACGTACAGGTGCCAGAGGGCCCCTGCGCCCATTTCTCCGTGCACCTGTATGTACACGTGTGCGTGCACGGGCTGGTGCATGCACACGCGTGTGTGCACACTGCCAGGGTTTGGCAGTCTGTGTCCACCTTGCTCAAGCCCCTCACCCTTGCCCAGCCCGGAAGTAGCCTCGGGGGCAGCCGCACAGGAAGCCACCGGGGGTGTTGGCGCAGCTGTAGCTACAAGGGCTGCCACGCGCCACACACTCATCCACGTCCTTGCAGCCCCCAAGGGCCTGGTCGAAGTTGAAGCCTGAGGGGCAGACACAGCGGAAGCCGCCCAGCGTGTTGTGGCAGGAGGCACTGCCGCAAGCTGCTGGCGACAGGACACATTCGTTCTGGTCTGTGGAGGGTGGAGGGGGAGAGAGAAAAGGTATAGGGGTGGGGGGGCAGCCTTCCACCCGCAATGCTCCCATCCCCACGAGGCAACTCTGGCTCCTCCTTCAGAGCCTAGGGTCAAGGTCAAAACCTCCTTCAAGCTCCCTGGGGGCCCTCCGACGAGGTCTGCCACCTCCTCATACAATCCTTCATGCCCATCCCCAACCCTGTGGTCTTCAAAGCATTTCTCAAAAGTTCCCAGGAATCCTAAATTGTGGGACAGTCTGGAATAAGGTTCCTCCCCCATGGCACTGTTGTCATTTGGGGTCATATCATTCTCAGGCATAGAGGGCCGCCCTGTGCCTATAGGATGCTGAGCAGTATCCCGGGCGTCCACTCACTAGATGCCAGTAG